TATTCCTTTTGGCTTCAGGTCTAAACGAATACAGTTCATTTTGGCGATGTGCTCAAGCGAGCGGTGGTTACTTTTTGACGCAGTTGGTAAAACTGCTCCTGTTGGCTACATTCTTTCCTGCAGCAGACACTGAGGGATTCGCAGTCCTTCCGGTTCGTTGGCTTCACTCAACGTTCAACGTTTTCCAATCTCATTGCTTAATATTTGAGGAGCTTCTGAAAAGCAGCGCGGACGTTGTTGATGTCATTGGTATGCATCTAGTTATGACGCATGTGCTGAATGGAAAAGGAGAGGTGATTTTTTTTGCATTCTGGTGTTCAATGTTTGGATACCTGCACTTGTGAGGATTTCTTTAAGCTTGAAATCTTCGTAAGTGTGATGATGATACACTCATCTGAAACCACCAATATTTTCGGCATCTAGGATTGTAAGCATGAAAATTGGGCGCGACTGAACTTAGAATTGATTGCAATTTAAACAACGTGCAACAACAACATACGTGCGAAGCTGTTGTCATAGCGAGCGATTTTCGACTGCAGAATTGCATTGAACTCTTTATTATTAAGATTTATATTCGATGAAGATGTATTTAGGTGCGGTTTTTGGTGGGCGGACTTGGATGGGGTGCTGCCCATTCGGTTGCGAGCAGTTTCATTTTATTCTGGGTTGGCGCCAGGTTTGCAGTCCTATTATTACATCACCTTTTAAGAATGAAATTAATGAGGAGGACCGATCATTGTCATCTGTTGTACTTTTAACATCCAATAGATTATGTCTATTCTTCATTAGTTTTCATTTAGGGCTTCAGCTTTTTCGTGGCGATGGATTCAGATGGCACTTGAGTCGTCATCTGATCTTATTCTCTTCGTAGCTATGGCGGCTTTAACATGGATGGCAACTCGTGCAGCCAGCAGACATCTGGTGTTTATGCTTCTTACTGCCTGCGTCTTCCATACGTTTGTCTATCAGTTAGTTTTATTTCCCTTCCACTCTTGTTAAATACGGTTTAAGGATTCCAGTACGCAGTAAGTGATCATAAGC